CATGCATGCAAAACACAACACTATTATATAAGTATTAGACGGTTTAATATAGTATGCCAATAGAATAACACACATTGATATACATTTTAAAAACCACACTTTACATTTCTTATGAAAAAAGAAATATATTTGTAAAAACATTTCTTTTACTTATTGTAACACCTAGAGATACAAAGTAAATTTATTTTTAGACATTTAAGTTATTTCCATCCTCCTACTGAGTTTTTTTTTTTTGCGAAAACTGCTATAAATTTGAATTCATGACCAGTAGAACAATAATTTTTCATAAAAAGAATGCTCTTCAATAGGTGTAATCATTAACATTGTTAAGTTAAAGAACTTAAATTGAATGTATATCATTATATTAATTGATTATTCAATCTTCAAGAAATGTAAAGAACAAAAAAATGGCAATGACTTCTTCTCGGGTATCTTCATTCAGTCATTGTCTTTATTGTACGACTTATGTAAAATAGTTTCCCTGGTATTCTCAATTAAATATTATCTTAGAAGTAGCAAGTATATCGGAATTTTCAGCATCAGAATAATGTATTTGAACCAGTTTTTACCCAATATTTATCATAAAATTTACAACAATTGTACTTTTTATGCTGAAATACTCTTCTCTTTATATTTATGTCTCCTATCCTAAATAATATGGAAACTTATACTTTTTTTTGCAATAATTAGTAAAGAGGTAGGTTCACTTAATCCACGAAATGGCCCTGTCATTATACCAATTACATGTAACTAACTTAGTCTTTACGTCACATTTCGAACATCAACACATAAAGTAGAGACGTAGTGCTTTCGTTTACTATAATTTCCTCTGAGAGTCCAAGTTTTGATACAAAGGCTATGTAAAACTACAATTTTCTTGAATTTTGCTGAAAATGAGTGAATTTGAGTATCTTCAACTATTGATTAAAACATGAGCCCACCCTGCAAATTAAAAAAAATGTTTAATGGATAAGAATCTTCCAAAGCATCTCATTCGGTATATATTTAAACATTTTTATATTAGGGGTTTGGGGCTAAGCAAAATATTCAAAAACGGCTTAAACATTTGGCCATTTTTAAAGAAATATTGAAGATTTAAGGAAAACACTGATGACATAATACATGGAAAAGAGAAAAAAATACGTCATTTTTATTTGATATGAAGTCACCAAGTGACCAAGTTAAATTCAACATATTTTCAACTAAAAATGAGCAGTTCTGATATTTTCAGAAATTCACAGAGCAAAAAGTGGTCCAAGGTGAATTTTGTTCTTTGGCAAATTTTATTAAATGGAAATAAATGCAGTTTTTGTACTTTGAACCATTAAAATTTTGAGGGTGGAAAATTCTTAAATTTTCTTTTGATGCAGCTACTTAAGTAATGTTTTTGTTTAGTTTTGTGAGAGTAATTGGTGTGGAAATTACACACACAGGCTTCTCATGTAGGCATATTTTATGACACGCGCTCCATTTTCATTTTTAATGTCATCACGAAACCACTTGATGTCTATCACAGATTTCCTCTTCTTTTCAGTTAAAGTCTTCCGTCTTGTTTGCTTTCCTTCAAGACTCCACATTGACTGCTTTGAAACAATACTGCCAAAATGAATTTCAATTTCCGAATAAAAAACTTCCTTTTCCAGATGAGATAACTTCCATGCACCTGCAATTCTTAGAATGTCTTCATCCAAGATTCAGACATTTTTAGTCTAGAACTAGGTGTCCTTAGTCCATAGTCTGGACATGTCAAAAAATAAAAACAAAAACTTTCGAGGAAAAAAAACAACTCGAAGGACGTACTGACATTTAGGTAGATTGTCAGAGAGAATGTGCGTACTCATTTGGTTAGAAAGGTTTACTTGAGCCGTGGGCCTGAAGGACCTTATCCACTCGAAAACCACAAAATTTGCAGGTTACCATTTTGTATGTTCTTTCGAGATCCTCGATTCTCTTTTGTTCTTTTTCATAAGGACCTTGTGAAGACGTCACTTGTCTGACGAGTTCCTCGTGTTTTTCCTCTATAACCTTATTTTCTTTTTCTACGATTAGACAACACTTTTCAAGAAGTTCAACTTTGTTTCTTGGTGATAGCATACTGAAATATTTATCATTTGCATACATACTGACATTTATATCTTCCAAGCGATATAGCATTTTTGAGTATAGTTCTTTAAATTCATATTCTGCTGCTAGATAAAAGCACTTCATGATGAATGAAACATCCTTCATACGGGTTTTTACTTCTTCAAGCATCCACTTCTGGCCAGATGTCAACAAAGAGTCCATTCCGTACTCCCTGGCTAAAGGAAGAACTTGTTCAAGACCTCTATCTGCAAATTGTTTGAAATTGTGCTACATGAATGCATTCGACAATGACGTATTATTGTTGTACTTGCTTTAGAAGAATTTAAATATTAGACTAGCTACACAGGTTATATGCGTAGACTTCATAGGTATAATAACTTAAAATATGTATACAATGAAAAATATAGATTATAAATAGTAACAACTTTCCATTCACAAATGTTATGGGTCAGAATTACCCGAAATGCCAGCAAAGATCAATAACACAATTTAAACTTAACAATAATTTATTTACAGTAATATACAAATCATTAAGTACAAACTTAGCAAAAATCTAAAAATACATACATCAGAGTGTCCGTTGCTGCACACAATGTCCCAGTGAAAATATATCCCAGTTGTATCTCAATGATGCTTATACGACAATATATCTATGCATCGAATTGACAGGGTATTTATACAGTAATATAAATCTAGAATATTCTAGAAATTGTAAGTACATGATATTACTGGAAAGTTCTGGACATACACAAAGTTCAGGAATGTTCTAGAAACAATGACCGAACATGTTGACCACTCTAGAATGTTCAAGAAACTTAATGTTACTAATAATAGACATGATGAAACAATACAAATACAACACACCTCACAACACCTCCCCCCTTAAAAAGTTTGAATGTTAATGAAAAACTTAAATTGTAAAACATATGTACATTAATACAAAAATCTAATTTGTTTATGATACTCTGGACAAGGCATCTGCAATAACATTGTCTTTGCCTTTGATATGCTTAATTGTTATGTTGTATTCTTGTAACAACAACTCCATCTAGTCAGTCTTTGATTCTTGTTTGACAATTTATGCAAAAATGTCAGGGGGTTGTGATCCGTATATACAAGAATTGGATGCAAAGTAACATTCAAATAAACATCAAAATGCTGTAAGGCTAACAACAAAGCAAGGCATTCCTTTCCAATGGTGGAATAGTTTTGTTGACATTTTGTAAGTTTCTTTGAAAAATAAGAAACAACTCTATCTACATTATCACTATGTTCTTGAAACAAAGCTGCCCCGATTCCAACATCACTAGCATCAACAGTAAGCTTAAATTGCTTAGAAAAATCTGGAGTTGACAGAACTGGATTGCTCATAAGGACAGATTTGATTTTATGAAACGATTTTTCACAGTCCTTTGTCCATTCAAAGTTAACCCTCTTTTGTAAAAGATTTGTAAGTGGACTTACAACTGAGGAAAAATTTGGACAAAATTTTCTGTAAAACCCAGCCATGCCCAAAAACCTCATTAATTCTTTCTTGTTTGTAGGAATCGGGAACTTTGCAATAGCTTCCACTTTAGCCATAATGGGTGTAACATAACCTTGACCTACTTTATGACCTAAATATTCTACATAAGCATGACAAAATTCGCTCTTCTCAAGATTCACAGTTAAGTTTGCTTTAGCTAAAATGTCAAATAAAGCACGCATGATTCGGAGATGTTCGTCCCATGTGTTGCTGTATATGACGACATTATCAATGTAGGCCTCGCATCCCTCAAGGTCTTGAAGAAGGGAGTGAATCATCCTTTGGAATGTAGCCGGTGCGTTTTTCATGCCAAAAGGCATTACTTTATACTGGTAAAGTCCATCTGGTGTAGCAAAAGCAGATATTTCTTTTGCTCTTTCTGTTAACGGTACGTGCCCGTAGCCTTTCAACAAGTCAAATTTACTGACAAATTTCGCGTTTCCAATGTTGTCAATACAGTCATCGATTCTAGGTATTGGATATGAATCAGTTTTGGTAACAGAATTCACCTTTCTAAAGTCTGTACATAATCGGTACGAACCGTCCTGTTTTGGTACAAGAATACACGGTGAGCTCCAATCACTTTTACTAGGTTCAACAATGTCATTGTCCAACATGTACTGCACTTCCCTTCTTAGGTACTGCAATTTTATTGGATTGAGACGGTACGGATGTTGTTTGATAGGCAGGGCATCGCCAACTATAACATCATGACAAGCTGCATTAGTTTTCTTTGGAACATCCGAGAAGATTTGATGATACTCATTCATCAAGTTTTTAACTTGTTCTTTTTGGTGAATGTTCAAATGTCCAAGTTTGGAATCAAAATCAGCCAAAATTTCTGAGTTTTTCAAGCGGACACTCTGATTACAATCTTTCTCATTCATCTCTACACTCGTATCACTCTCAATACAATTTTGAACAGTCTTAGCGTTGGCTAAAGTGGAAACTGGTTTTACAGAATTTCGGTCACACCTTTCAAAATACTCTTTTAACATGTTAATGTGACAAACACGTTTATCTTTACGTCGACCTGGTGTCTTAACTACATAGTTTACATCACTGATCTTGCTTTCAATTTCATAAGGGCCATAAAATCTGGCCTGTAAAGGATGACCAGGAATAGGTAAAAATACAAGAACCTTATCACCTGGCTTAAACACCCTATTTCTGGCATCTTTGTCATACCACATTTTCATTTTCATCTGAGAATTCTTCAAATTTTCTTGTGCTAATTTACAAGCATTGTAAAGTTTTTCTTTGAAATCAGACACATAATCTAAAAGATTAAGATCACTAGTCTCAGTCAGCCACTTTTCCTTCAACAATTTTAAAGGACCTCTAACTGTATGACCGAACACCAATTCAAATGGACTAAACCCAAGAGACTCCTGGACTGCCTCTCGTGCAGCAAATAGTACAAAATGAACCCCTTCATCCCAGTCTTTCTCATACTGGTAACAATAGGTCTTCAGCATTGTCTTTAGGGTTTGATGAAAACGTTCTAGCGCTCCCTGGGACTCAGGATGATAAGCAGTTGATCTATATTGCTTTATACCCAACTCATGCATGACTTGCTGGAACAACCCCGACATAAAATTTGAGCCTTGATCCGACTGAATTGCCTTGGGTGCTCCTACAAAACTGAAAAACTTGGTTAGGGCCTTAACTATGCTCTTTGCCTTTATATTCCTAAGAGGTATGGCTTCAGGAAATCGAGTGGATGTACACATAATGGTAAGTAAATACTGGTTTCCTGACCTAGTCCTAGGCAAAGGTCCTACACAATCCACTAACACTCGACTAAACGGTTCTTCAAAAGCTGGAATGGGTTGGAGAGGAGCAGATGGTATCTTCTGATTTGGTTTACCTACCATCTGACAGACATGGCATGACTTGCAAAACTTCGAAACATCCTTTCTTAGCTTAGGCCAATAAAAATGACTCAAAATCCTGTTATAAGTCTTATTGATACCTAAATGACCAGCCATAGGTGTATCGTGAGCTAAACTCATGACATCTCGACGATAAGCAGCTGGGACCACTATCTGGTGAACAACACGCCACACTTCATCTGGGGAAGCGTCAGGTGGTCGCCATTTTCGCATAAGGATGCCATCTTTCATATAGAAACATTCTCCAACTTTAGTAGCCTCTTCTGGTGGAAGTGCCCTCTTACTAAGTTGAATGATATCTGGGTCTTTATGTTGTTCAGAGAGTAAACGTTCTCGGCTGAGGATGTCCTTGCCTTGGCTAACTAGTGGATGCAACTCATCATCCTCACCACCAAATTTTGGTAAAAGTTCTTTCTTCTCTTGCTTCTTGATATTGTGTGGTTCCATGCTTGTTTGAGTGCCATCACGGTCAGATAAGAAAGTGTCATTCAAATCAATATCAACAGAGGAATTCGTTTCGTCAAAGGCTTGAGTATGGTCTGCCTCCATTTCTCGTCTTCTGGCCATCGCTCTAGTAACAGCATAGGCTGGATAAATGTCATCATCTTCATCATCGCACATGACATCTGGATTGATCTTCTCACAAACTATAGGATCTGGTACAACTTTTCCACCAGCTAAATCGTTGCCTAGCAACAAAGAAATGCCTGGAACGGGAAGAGTAGGTCGAACACCTACGATAACAGGTCCAGTAACTTAAATCTGACTTCAAACTAATTCTATGCAAGGGAACATCAATGACGCCTAGCTCCACACCCTGTAATAAAACTGACCCACCAGTAGAAGTCTGCTCAGACAAAGGAAGCACGCCCTCTAACAATAACGTCTGTGCAGCACCAGTATCTCTCAAAATCTGGACAGGTTTTATTTCGCTAGAGTCACCGAGTGAAACAAATCCCTGAGACATAAAGGGCTTATAATCCTTCATAGAATCAATAGAACTGGACTGTGAACCCTGGACACCAGGAGTGTCAGAACCAATCAAAACTAAGGCTTCTCTATCACCTCTAACTGCCGCACAAGCATGTGGTTGAGTTTTATCAAAATCATTTTTTCTCTTAAGTTTAAAGCAGTCACTGATCAGATGACCTTTTTTCTTACAATAACTACAAGTAGGAAGCGACCCTATTCCAGAAGATCCTTCAAAACGTCCTGGACCGGACTTAGAACCACCTTGGGCTGGAGACTGGGAACTTGTGAAAGACTGAGACCCTGAACCACTCTTTTTATATGTGTCTGAATAGGTAGAATTACTGCTAGTCTGAGATCTTGATACAAAATTCTTTTTATGAGACAGAGCATAAGTATCAGATATGACTGCTGCCTCTTCAACAGTTTTCACATTCTTATCTTCTAAATGTGTTTTCAAATCTTGAGGAACACATTCCTTAAACTCTTCTACCAGGATGACTTGGCGCAAATTAGTAAAAGTTTTGTCAAGATTCTTAGATCTAAACCAATGATCGAATAAATCTTCTTTCTCTCGTGAAAATTCAACAAATGTTTGATTATCAAACTTCCTATACTTTCTGAACTTTTGTCTATACGCTTCAGGTACTAATTCATAGGCTTTTAATATTGCTGCTTTGACCTTCTCATAGTCTGAACTTTCAGCTACCCCTAGTGCAGAGTATACCTCAGCTGCTTTGCCAACCACTACACTTTGTAACATTGTTGACCAAACGTGTTGTGGCCATTTAAGATTCTCTGCGACTTTTTCGAATTGGGGAAAATATTTGTCTACAGATTTTTCTTGAAATTTCGGAACTAACCTGATATTTTTTGCTGCGTCAAATTCATTCTTGACAAATGACGGTTCTGGTTGGTGCTGTAATCTTAATTTCTCTAACTCAAAGTGCTCTTGTCTTTCTAATTTGTCTAATTCAAATTTTCGTTCACGCTCTCGTTCTTCTCTTTCTAATTTGTCTAATTCAAATTTTCGTTCACGCTCTCGTTCTTCTCTTTCTCTTTCTCGATCTTCTCTTTCTAATTTTTCTCTTTCTAATCGCATTTTCTCTAACTCTAATTGAAACTGATATTCTGCCATTTTGTAAGAGCCTAATTCTGATTTAACTGTATATTCTGGAAGATCATATCTCTCAAAGATGTTTTCTTCTACTAGTTTGTTTGCAACCTTAATTCTAATGTCTTGCTTTCTCTGAGAGGATTTAACATCTAACCCAAAATGCAAACCTAATGCGATCAAGTCATCCTTTTTTAACGTATCAAAAATCTGAACACTTGGTGAACTAAGAAAGTCTGTGACCGAAAATACCATGTTGATTTTTGCTGGCTTATAGTCAAATTTAACGGTTCAATAAACAAAATTCTGACAATAAACTGCAAAAGTGCAAGAAATTCTTAATCCCGGACGAGCCCCCAATTCTGTTATGGGTCAGAATTACCCGAAATGCCAGCAAAGATCAATAACACAATTTAAACTTAACAATAATTTATTTACAGTAATATACAAATCATTAAGTACAAACTTAGCAAAAATCTAAAAATACATACATCAGAGTGTCCGTTGCTGCACACAATGTCCCAGTGAAAATATATCCCAGTTGTATCTCAATGATGCTTATACGACAATATATCTATGCATCGAATTGACAGGGTATTTATACAGTAATATAAATCTAGAATATTCTAGAAATTGTAAGTACATGATATTACTGGAAAGTTCTGGACATACACAAAGTTCAGGAATGTTCTAGAAACAATGACCAAACATGTTGACCACTCTAGAATGTTCAAGAAACTTAATGTTACTAATAATAGACATGATGAAACAATACAAATACAACACACCTCACAACACAAAGCTTTAGGCATTTTCAAGTGAACATTCAGATAGAATCTTAAAAACCAAGGCTAGGTGTCATGGAAGGTATTGGCATGAAATAAATCCCTCATTCTGCAATATACCTTAGAGGCGAAGAATTTTTTAAAATTTATTTCTTCTCCGGCATATAATAATATCAGTGTAAAAGTAAAAATGTCTCTTCTGTCTCTTTCAAAAAAAAATCATCTAAAAAAACACTGGAATCAAAAGTGTTATTGGAAAATTACTTAAATGAACTTTGAGAAAGTAAGATCGCTTAAAAATGCCCAACTTTCTACAAATGGTTTGTGTATTGCTACCATATACGTGTCTAAACAAAAATTTATTTAAAAAACCAGGAAAGCAAGACTATATTGCATGAATTCATATAGACTTTGAACCACCCTTCAATTGTAAAGACAAATATGTGAAGACAAAACATTTGGAGATAGCCAACAGTATTCAGTCTCAAAAGTTCTATAAACAATGCAAAATAGGTGCAGAGCCAAAACGGACCTCCAAATCCTTTTTTTCTCTGTTTTTCCTCCTTAAGTGTGGTTTAAACTAAACATCAGAGGTGGGATCAAGTGCGGAGGAGGAGTGAGCATCCCCTGTCGACCTGTCACGCCTCCTTGGCTACTATATGAGATGAAAACTCTTGCATTTCAAAACCAAATAAAAAATAAATTTTATGATAAAGGAGATTATTTCAGCCTTTCCAACATAAATTCTCCTTATTTATGTAGCAATGTTCCGCAATCTTCTGACATTCTGTGACATTATTTTCCCTTATTCGCTATTCAAGAGCGTACTATGAAAACGACCAATCTTCAAACCAAAACTGCTAGACTAGATGTGATAGGGATTTAAATAACCTCGTTTAAAGTTAGCATTTTGCATATTTTCAGACGGTATTATGACCTTATTTGTAAATAACTTTTAAATCACTGCGACGTTATTTGCATACCACATGTTAAGTTTTCTATTTACGTTTTGAACACACATATATTAATTACGTTCGTCTTCATGGTTGAAAGGGCTCAAAAAATGTTTGACATGGCTTCTTAATATCCCTAGTCACTTGAGTTCAGCTCTGGACCTTTAAGAGGTCCGTGTTTAAAGCCCTCATAAAAATGTATTGTTTATGGATCAATTTGTGTTCGTTATCATCAACCTTTTTCATGAAAAGATAAGACAAACCCCATCTGCATGGAGCTTAGCTGACTTCCTGAAATAATTTGAGTGAGATTCTTAATCACAGTGATAAGATGGAAAAATAATAAAAGTCTTCTTACTATATTTAAAGTTATAAAAACAAAGGTAAAATAAACATGCAAAAGGATAGTATTTATTCTCAGTCGTTTTATATGTATTTGATTGATTCTTTACCTTACAACAAAGCGCATGAGTTACTGGTCCTTCAAGGTACTACATGTAGTAGATATAAAGAAGAAATGAGGTTTTCTTATATTTTTGATAATCTTTTTTGTGATATTGCATCCATTTATTTCAATATTTTTAATATTTAATACAAACCATTTAGTTTAATATGCTCCCCAGGATAAAAACATCTGAGAAACAACACAAAATCTTCATATTTCTTTCCCGGGAATTTAACTGTACTTTCGTTTTTCTCTTTGAAGTCAGACGTGAACATGGCACGGAAAACTGGAGAAGCTCGTATCAGGATTGACTTGGTCAAGTGAATCTTCTTATCCTCCACAATAAACACTATATCTGTCAACTCTGGGTCCTCCTTGAAATAAACCACGTTATGGTGTCCTTTGTAAAAAGACTCCATCTTGCAAAGAAATTTCTATGAAAGATATTGAAGGGTTACCTCTCTTAACATTGTGTTTTGAGGTAAAATCGACGACCCCAATGCGAATATATTGTCTGAAATGTTTATAAATTTTATATATATATTTCAAACTGTTTATTCCCTAACTACACCATTTTACTTCGTTAAATCAAATAAAATAAACTTAAATTATAAAAACTGTTACAAAAAAATACACAGAATAAACCACGTAATTCTTAATTTTGAAGTTGATAATGTTTACGTGTTTTGTAAGAAAGTTGTAAGACATTCTTTTCGTGTATTTTAAGTCTAAAGTAAAGATTGTTACAATCATTTAGCTTTTCTGTCAGATGGACAATTTTTCACAACAACTTTTTTACCATTTGTTTCCAAAATAAGATACAAATAATTTGATTCAATTCCTTACCTTTTTTCATGGACATTTCAAATGGAATTATGCTTTGGAAAATAAATAACCAAATCAAGTCCCAGATATATTTTATAAGACTTTGGATGTATTAACAATGTGAAAGAGAATCTTTCAAAATGAAATATATGAAGATCACAAACAGTATTCAAGATCAAAAAACCATAAAACAATACAAGATACATGTAGGAGCAGAACAAACAAGGACCTCCAATACATCAGAGGTGGGATCAGGTGCCATGGAGGAGTGAGCATCCCCTGCCGACTTATGACATCTGCAGTGTGCTCCTTGTGGTGATTTGGAAAATTCAGTTCATAAATAATGGACTGACAATTAGTACGGAAAACGTCAGTCAGCATTTTACTCAATGATGAATTGTATTTGCTGACAAAAACATTGTATCGACCATAGAACTAATGAAATGATGAAAGCCACAGCAAGAGCTTTCTTCTTTCACTCATAAGATTTTTAAAAAATCTACTTCATATGAATATAAACATTTATTGCTTCTAATAACAGGAGCAATTGGTACCCATTGGAAAATTCCAATAGATTGTTGGAACACCTTGTCTCCAAAAAACAACAAAGATATTTTCAATCAGAATCTCCACCGTCTTTTTTGATGTCAACTTCAGAGTATATGTATGTACAATCACTTTTGAGTTTTAGCAAACAAAATTAAACTTGCAACTACAGAGGCAACAATCATTGTTTTTTCACAAAATAATTTTGCAAATGACCAGTTACAAAGTAAGGAAGTAAACGAGCTTCCATTTTTATTGAAAAAGAGGCTGTCATTGACATCAAAAAGCCTGGACTTTAATTTATCGTGGGGAATGGTTGTGTATAAAGTTGAAAAAACGCAAGTTTTTAAGATGTTGAGTTTGGTAAAATCTTGTGATTTCAAATTATCCAAAAGTTCTTTGGAGTATTGAACTAACCACATCTGATTTACACAACTTCTTCAATATATTGTTGCATAGTACTCTTGAATTTCTCTTTCAATACTGTCAGTATCTTAGTAATGAGTAAAGAAAAAGGCTTGGTTGAACATTTACTGAAACCCGCTATGTATCTTTGTTTGTAAGGCTTCTTATAAGTTTTGGAATCTAATATATATACAGCTATAAAGTACTTCAAATTCATTTTGGTTCTTCTGGATATTTAGAATATTCAAAAGAAGGATATGGAGATAACAAACAGTACTCAATATCAAACTCAATAAAACAACACAAAATAGGAGCAGAGCAAACACGGACCTGTGAAACATCAGAGGTGGGATTGGGTGCCATGGAGGACGAAGCATCCCCTGCTGACCAGTCACACCCGCCGAGTGCTACTCCTCATGATCGGGAAATAACGGTAAAATCCGTCGTCAATTCAGTGTATAAATAATAGACTAACAATTACTATGAAAAACATCAGTCAGCATTTGACTCAATTATTAATTGTATTTGCTAAAAAAATCATTATATCAACCATAGAACTTACGAAATGGTGTTTTTAAACATTTAAACGAGACTGTTGATATTCTTGTTTCATCAACGTGTTTGTCAATAATTTACCTCGTTTTAGAAATTGTTCGTATGTAGAGCATGCTCCTGCGTATCGAATCAACTGAGATATATACACACCGTATACAGGTGATGAAGGTATACTGCTACATAGGTAAAGGAAGTTGACGATTGAAAAGTCATCACGTTTATCATATAGCTTGGTTGTTAGATTACGATTAGTGTCTTTTTCAAGTAAAATATTCAAATATGAAACAGGTGTGTCAATGGTATCTTTTATTTCAATATCACCAGGATATATCATATCGACATAAATGGTTCTCTGTATGGAGTATAATTTAAGGAGAACTTAATTAAATAAATCCTCAAGTTATCAACGAAACAATTTGATAACACAATAAATCAGTTATCTGATCGGAAGAGACATATAAGATTTTGCACAAATTCTGCTTCATATAGATCAATATAAAAATATGTCAATGATAATAGACCTTTAATAGGTAATAGGTAAAAACGGAGCACAATTTTTACCCATAGTAATATATCATACAGAAGAGTTGTTGGTTTCAGAAAATCCCATATCAAATAACAACACAAACTCAATCTTCTTTTTGATGTCAACTTCAGAGTACTTGTGTGTGCAATCAGAATGTGTTTTTACATAAATCTCACCCCATCAAAAGTGAATGAGCTCGTTGATTTTATTAAATCAAAACATTCACTACATCAGAATGGTTTTATATAAATTTTTATTGCACAGTATTCTTGTTTTTCCTTCACTACTGTCAATATTTTGTACGAGTAACGAAAGAGGCTTGGTTGAACATTTACTGGAACTGGCATATGATTTTGTAGAATTCCATCCTTAAAAGGGAACTATCAATATACATGTTAGTTGGATTACCACTTGTAGAATTGAAATCTTCTAATTCTTTTTTTTTCACTTCTGGATTATTGCATAAAAGGAAAAATGTTTTTTTATTCCCCTAAATTTTTTAAAGGTACTTAGACA